TGTGTGTGTATGTGTACGCATGTAAGAAGGTATTATAAGAAGGTATTAATGTTGGCACATGATGAATATATGTGGCAGCAAACGTACAGCCTTCGTTTTTATGCTCAAGGAGAAAGCAGGGAAATTGACAGTATTGAATGAAATGAGTGCTACTGCCATTCGAAAGCTGCAGGAACACCATGAGCACTTTGAAGCACCTTCTCCTGCTTGTCTTTCAGGATGAGCTCCTGAGTTCGCTTCTTGAACTCATTGACCGGATCGCCCACCATCACCTCGTGAATTGGGCCGCCACCCAGGCGCATTGTTCATGACCGTCTTGCAGCTTCAGCGCCATACGCAAACTGTGGAGGAAATTATGCAGGATGGACAGCACCCGACTGGGATTACAGAATGGGATGCTGAGTAAAGTACTTGTGTCTGCGTGAGGCCTATGGCAAGTCTATATTGTAAATTGACGCAAGGGAAATATTGCCGTTTTCGTTTCTGCAGGCAAGACGGAAACCCCTTCTTTCTGCTTCTCCGAGTTTCCTTTGCCCGGGAGTGCAGCTTTCAAGCCGTTAGAACATCACTAGCGGCTCACTAGCGCAACTATATGATTAGACAAGGGTGACCAGCTTTCACCTTCACACGTGGTCGTAACAAACAACAATTCATGAAGAATCCAGAGAGAAAAGGGCTTTGAAGCTTCAGAAAGAAATGTCTAAGTACCTATATATAAAACTTATATACATTCAACCAGACAGTGACTTTCTCTGGCCTGCGCTGTCTTTTTGAAGCCGGCAAACCGGGCAAGCAGCTCCTGGGTAGCACGAATCTGCCGGTCAACAGGCTTCAAGAAGCTTCAAGAAGCTTCAAGCTTTGTGTAAGATTCAGTCTGATTCAATCTGATTCAATCTTCAAACATTCGTTTTGAAGAGAAGCACCCGAATTGTGTGAACAGAACTTGGCGGAATCTACAATGAAATAGCACAAAAAAGCACTGAAAATGTGTAGACCCTCGCCCTCACCACAAGTTATGACGTGCAGCTTTGAAAAGGGTGGCTCCTTTCTCTCCAGCAGCAAAAGGTTCGACTTCACCTCCATCAAGACGAAATTCCTGCCAACTATGACAATTAGAAACACCACAGCTGCATACCTATTGTAAATTCTTGAGAGATTTCAATAGTGCGCAGGGACTAAGCCCACTAAGCACAAGGCTCTACTCTTGGCGACCTTTTACTCCTTTGCTCTAGTGCATTGGCGAGAAGGTGGCAAGTCTACGCAACATCTGGTTGGAAAGTCCTCTTCTGCGCCGGTGCTATGCTCCTGTCGAATACTGCTTTGCCACTCTGCGACGACAATCAAGAGGGAGCAACCCCTTTCTCACTGCCAAGAAGGTCAAGATCCAGTCCACGGATAAACATCTTCGAAAGATTTCAAAAGTATCACCCTTTCACATCATACCTCAGAGTACAGTATGTAATAGTTTCTACTGAAGAAATACTCAATCCGAATTCTTTCTCGCAGCTCCTGCGGGTCTTCCCATTGGAACACGGACAAATTGATACAGTCATCAGCAAATGACTTCAAACCAGCAACATTACCTTCCACTGGTATTAAATAAGCGTCAATATGTTATCACGTCCAGACTTGACTGGAGTGGGCTGCAAATCCCTTGTGCGCTCCTCAAAACACGGCGTATGCTGAAGTTGTCCAATTCAGAAACGCCGGTGGACATCTCCGGTTTGTCGTTTGAGCTCCTCCCAGACACATTCTACTTTGAGCTGAGTTCCCTATCTGAAAAACACCCTGCATGAGTAAGTTGTCAAAATCACGAACCTGAGAAGAAATCAAGAAGTATCTTTTGATTTTTGTCGCATCTCTTGTAAGCTAGCTATCCAGGATTATCCAGGCTATCCACCAATTGAATGTCTTGGTAGAAGAGTCCTCCATCGATAGCCCCTGTTTCTGCTGATGCCACTCTTCTCGCACCACCTCAAGCGGACCACACGCAATGGTTGACACAAAGCTATGTCATTTTACAAACACAATGAGTGTGATGATAGTGTCGTGATAATCCAAAATGATCTCCATGTCTGTGGTGCTCTAAACACTGTCAAGGTGAAACGGAAGTTATTTCTTATTTCCTGAGGCCTTCGATTTCTCAGAGCAAACAAGTAGTACAGTATGACTCGTAAATTCAATGGGTTGACCCACTAAGCCGCAAGAAAGAAATTTGACTCTCCCCTGAGGAAACTGCTCAAGGACCATTCTATCGCTGAGCTCCTGAGACAAGGCGAAATGTCCAGACAAACAGCGACAAACCGCAGCAAAACCGGCTATGCCGGAGGGAAACCTGGTATAGATAAGAATGTGATAAGCAAACGAGTCAGCAGAGTCAGCTAGAGAGCGCAAAATCACATGAATCACATGAGTTTCATGAAACACGCGCGCTTGGGATCTAAAGATCTATCAAAATAGATGTTTTCCCAACTGTATGGCCACCTTTAAAACATTTTTTTAATAAATATATATATATATGTGCAGTATATGTATATATATACAGTATATGTATATATATGTACATGTATATTGACAATATATGAAGTATGAAAACCAGGTTGGTTTACTCCCAGCTCTCAGACGTTCCATAAACTGGTTCAACATGTTTCAACAGATTCGATGCTGTCGAAGAACCTGGCCAATTTGAGCAGAAAGTTGCCGAGTTTTGCCCAAAAAACATCCGTTTTGCCATTCCAAAGGTCCAAATTATATCAAAGATTGTTGTTTCATCTTTGACTGTTGGATTATGTTGGATTCGAGGCCAGTACTTTTTCGCTTCTTGGCCCAATCTCCTTTCAATCGCCAATTGAGGCACTGACTGTGTAGTCCGGATGTTGCTGCAGAAACAAGTCGACCTTGCAGGAGATATACCGATATACCGGAAAAACAAATGCAGGTCTTCGTTCGGCATATTCATTTTGAAGATTTTGAAGATCAATGTTGGAATATGCTGAAAGTCGAAAAACAATTTCAGTACGAAGATACAGAGGTTACCTGAGCCCCAAACAGCATCGAAGGTCCCTTCATCTGGCAGCAGCACAGGAAAGAGCACCTGGAGTTTTGCGCGCGTCCTACAGCGCCCACTAATTGTCTGTGTGTGTGTGTGCGCGTGTGCATATATCTGTGCGTATATTTTTCTCTGTGCGTGTGTGCATCTATGTTTCTATATATATATGTGTGTGTGTGTGTGAGACGCTTCACGATTCATGCCAGACTCAACTCTCAGCTTCACTTTCCTGCAAAATGGAGAAGTTCAGCCATTCGAGTTTCAAAGAGAAGGTCACATCGAGAAGATTTTCTCGCAGATGTTATGGTGACAGATCAAGTCAAGATCATGTCGCTCCACCCCTTAAAAGAAGGTGCAGTGGTGGGGATGGAGGTGGTTGCCTCGAGCATCCAGGATGCGGCCCAACGTCTTACAGCTATTCATTCTCGTCTAAAGACTGAACATGAGACGCTTCACGATTCATGCCAGACTCAACTCTCAGCTTCACTTTTCTGCAAGATGGCGAAGTTCAGCCATTCGAGTTTCAAAGAGAAGGTCACATCGAGAAGATTTTCTCGCAGATGTTATGGTGGCAGATCAAGTCAAGATCATGTCGCTCCACCCCTTAAAGGAAGGTGCAGTGGTGGGGATGGAGGTGGTTGCCTCGAGCATCCAGGATGCGGCCCAACGTCTTACAGCTATTCATTCTCGTCTAAAGACTGAACATGAGACGCTTCACGATTCATGCCAGACTCAACTCTCAGCTTCACTTTTCTGCAAGATGGCGAAGTTCAGCCATTCGAGTTTCAAAGAGAAGGTCACATCGAGAAGATTTTCTCGCAGATGTTATGGTGGCAGATCAAGTCAAGATCATGTCGCTCCACCCCTTAAAGGAAGGTGCAGTGGTGGGGATGGAGGTGGTTGCCTCGAGCATCCAGGATGCGGCCCAACGTCTTACAGCTATTCATTCTCGTCTAAAGACTGAACATGAGACGCTTCACGATTCATGCCAGACTCAACTCTCAGCGTCACTTTTCTGCAAGATGGCGAAGTTCAGCCATTCGAGTTTCAAAGAGAAGGTCACATCGAGAAGATTTTCTCCCAGATGTTATGGTGACAGATCAAGTCAAGATCATGTCACTCCACCCCTATCCACTTGCAAGAAGTGAGCTTCTTAGTTGTTATTGGAAATCAAAGCGTCTGCAATTTTCCACCAAAGTTTGTATCGATAAGGCTGTGCTCTCCGGGAAAGCCAAACACCATCAGAATCTTTGCCAGAAAGCATGATATGTTTATACGTCCGGGGAAACTGCAACGTCCATGATGTGTCTTGCAGTGTTTGGACACTTGACGCAAAGTATCAAAATTCTGAAATATCAGACCTGTGGATTTTTGCCTAGGCATGCCAAATGCACAAAAATCAGTCTGGAGAAAAGAGGCACCCTTCAGGAGACAGGCTTGTAGTGGCTCCGTCAACCAGATTCGCGATGTGAAGGGATTCTCTAGGACCCATGCTATCTGCAAGTCAGAACAAAGTTGAGCGATCTGCACTGAACAGTCGAGTAGAGCATTGCCTTGTGAAATCTTCTCCAAGTCGCGCGCTGGTAGATTAGGGAATCCCCAAAACCATTCAGAGCCATTTCTAAGAGGAGGAGGGCCGCCATCATTTTTTCGGGCTCTACTTCAAGTAGTACAAGGGGTGCCCATCCAGACTAAAGCAATTTCTGAGGAATGGTTCTGTATAAACTTCAGAAGGCTTGCCAGGACACGAGGCTGCAAAAGGTCACAAGCTGAACCATACTCAATGTCAAGTCATAGGCAATGGGCAAGAAGCCAGACGCAGAGCATGTCTTTGACAACCTTGCGCAACCACTGAAGACCTCAATCACAAACCTCTTTTTCGGGATCTCGGCAGTTGGTGAAGGAGCAAAAGTCTTTGGGCCTCCAACTGAAACCTTTTTTCCAGCTCCACGCATCTCCGCTGAACTTCTTCAGGAAGTAGGTGGAACTCTTGAGAGATGCGCGCATGGGCCTCGTATCTCTTCACGCTGGTGTCTGAACTCCACCTGCCGCGCTGCTTCACCTCCAACGACTTCGGTGTTTTTGTTGCCGGTCGAAACTTGGACCGGAGTGACGCAGTTGATACAGCACTGCATGATTGCTCGCTAGCCCCACCTTCATGAGAGCGCACTTCCAATCCTTCACCAGCTTGTCGTAGGTCAGGTCGATCAGGTAGGTCTGATGAGTTGCTAGAGTCTGCAGCACCACTCCCAACCATGGAAGCAACGGAGAGTCCAGCATCAGCGACTTGTCTGACAGTCCCACCTTTGACTGCTGCCGTCGGGCAGCTGGATGAAGATGGATGGCATAAAATGGGGAGCCCGGCATCGGCCGTGCCAAGTCCACTCGCTGGAGATCGAAGAGCTCGCCCGGCCACGGGTAAGCTATGAACATCAACAGAATGACAGAATGGAAACTGCGATGATCTTCTTTCCCACATGGATCATCTCCATGCACATGGCTGCTAGCAGTGGCCACAGTAGTCTGTAGCTATGGCTCTGCTTTGTGCCACCCTTGGAGAGCTCTTCGGGTGCGGTGCAACATGTGCTTGGGGGCAAAGTCTGGGTAGGCATCTATGATGACCGCCATGGTGTTTGTTCCGTCTTGGTAATCGAAGCCTAGCTCGAACATGTGGTTCACAAACTTGCTGCGACAAACCAAGTCGAAGTTGCTCTTTCGATTCAGGTTTTTCACAACGGCCTTCAACTCTTGAACCCGGCAAATGTAGTCTACTGCAACTGGAGTTGATACTGCTAGCATCTCCAGAGGGTCTGACCCGGAAACCTTGGACCCTCCCCCGCTCGACTGCAGGCTTGTGGAAGCAATTTTTGAACTGTGGTGTCTTTGGGCCCATCTGGATAGCATGCTTTGAGGATACGTTGCCAGCTCTTCTCTTGCTGGGCTCAGGTCTCAACATCTCAAGCACGCAGACGCTCCCAACGCCGTGAAGGACCGTCTGCCATGTTGAGCTCACTAGGGATCCAACGAACCGCAAGAAAGCAATCAGTGGCTAAAAGAAGGCTTGCGACCCTACGGCAAATACGCAGCATGCTAAAAGTTCCTGATCTACCCTTGGCCAAAAGAAGCGTCATGCCCATGTTGTCACAAAAATGGAGATGCTTATGACCAAATTCTTGACATGAGCGAAGCTTATGCCGAAGTGCCGCAATGACTCCACGCCCTTCTAAAAGTGCGATGTGCTCGTTGTAATGCATCTGGATGGAAAAACACTCACGCCAATCATCCTTGTGCAAAAACTGTTTGTCGACTTCCTCAAGATTGACATCCAACTCAAAAGGATCAGCAACAGATGTTTTGTCATTGATCGAACCGCGTCAAGGTCAGCAAAAGGATCTCTCGCAGACAAGGCAGTGGCTCTAGGATTTACAGGCAGTTTAGACTTGTATCTCCAATGTTCCTTCTGATCACCTAACCTTGTCTGAACAGCCTCGCTAAGATCTCTACGGCACACTGCAATGCCTTACAAAGAAGCATCTGATGCCGTTGCTGATGAAGACCAATTCCGTCGCATGTCAACTGAGCATAATTTCAGGACATGAGAGCACCATCTTGCCTCTCGTGCCGCTGAAGGCCACAGCTTCTGCCTTTTGAAGGAAGAGGCAAAGAGAAAACCATACAAGGATCGGCACAAGCTGAAAAGTTCACGTCGTAAAAGGCAAATGTGCATGGCATGACCCAGAAGCCTCTCGACTTGTCGGCCATTCACAACAGGACGATGGGACAGCCATTCAAAAGCGTTCAGAATACGATCCAGTCGCTCTGGAATGGGAAGGATGACACCAGCTTCACCATCAATTAGAAAACCAAGTGATTGCGCTAAGGTGCAAGCATCTGTTTCTTCATGCACTCTGAAGCCCAAACGCCTGAGTTCAGTCACAATTTTGTCTTTTACTTCTTGAACTCGATGAGAGCACGTTCCCGCCACATTCAGATTGTCAGCATATGGAACCAAGATCACCTCGCCATCACTGAGGTCAGGACCTGGGCTATTGAAAGCTGTTGGCCATCAGGTAAGGAAACTTGACTCCATGTGCTGCCAGCTGACAGTGCCATTGGTGGTGGTGGATGAAACCGACGATTTACGCCACGACAATCAAGCACCAGGCGAAGTTTGCCGTTTTTCTTCTTAACAAAGAAAGGCGCAATCAAATCTTTAGGGGAAAAAGTAATATCCACCATATTCTTATCATATAGATCCTTTATGAACTTATTATACTTGTTGGGGTCATTCTGCAAGATGGTGTCCATATAGGGTCGAAAACCTGAATTGTGCTCTGCAATCTCCCCCCATTCGTCCTCCGACAGCAACATCTTATCAAGGGGGCTCTCGACAACATCTCGACCAATGGGGTCCATCACCTGAGACAAAGGCACTAAGGTTGCACCAACATCAGGTAAGACACCAAGTCACGGTCGTAGGGCCTGACCGTACTCAGATTCGTACTCCCATCATAGGATACGTCTGTATGCAGAAGCTCTTGTGTAGCCTCACGCACTGCACATGGTTTGTTGAACTTTCGAAGACGTCCCAACTGCTGAAAAATCATATGCTAACTGTAACGCTGTGCTTGCGTCTCATGTAGCACTGGTCCAGAATGTTGGGAAGCATAAATTCCATTCAAACAGTCAGAGATTGAATTAGCTTCCAGAACCCTTGCCCGTACTCTAGCTCGCCTCCGCTTTGAAGAAATGGAGCATCCTGGCACAGAATGAGGCACTGGGGCGTGGGAGAGGAAAAAGTTTCGCGTCATCTTTGGTTACCAAGAGTGGGGTTGGCATCCTCGCCTGCAAAATCAAAATTGGACTCGCCATGAACCAGTGAGCCATCAGGTCAGCCATCCTCATTTGCCATCGCCGCCTCCACCGGACTCCTGTTTTTTGCCCGGCTTTTGGCGGCGTTGAGCTTGTTCTTCTCTGGCTTTCCGCGCTTCTTTTTGGATGGCTGCATGATTCTTGAGCTCTGAAGCCAAATGTGCTGCTAAACCACTGTCGATACCTTGATTCTGATTTCGATATCTCCAGCCCATGAAAATAGTCTGCACTGGAGTAATCTGGTGCACTCGGAGTCCCGAATGACCTGCATGCGCCTGACCACCAGTTCCATGAATTGAAGGCCGCTAGGGTTCAGTTGGTCAATGCAAATCATGGGCTCAAAGATACAGCTCAAGCACCCGTTCTCGTACCTGACCGATCACCGCCAGGTATGCCGGCTGTGTGAAGCCAGAATTCATGATAGGAGGTTGGAGTCAGGTCTCGCAACCCTTTTGCTATGTTGAGAGCCATAGGAGGCCCTTCCAACTGCAAATCCCCACCTTGAGGGGTGGCTTCAATCATAAGTGGTATAGCACTTGAAGATTCCCTTCTACGTGTGCCCTGAACATCAAAACATACAGGAAGCACCCGCAGATCTGTTTGTAGGAGTTGGCATCACTTTGTGGAACACAACCCTCTCCTCCACCTTGAAGATCATGAACAATCGCCCGTTTCACCTAGCCGCACATGGCCAACCGCGAGGGCTGCTGGCTCAATGCAGACCACGTCGCCACGGTTGCGCCCACCAGTGCATTCCACAGCCACCCATACGTAGGTCACTGCAGGCCCAGGTGCGAGGCCAGCTGGAGCAGCCAGTGCGGCGAGAGGAACCGCCGGTGCCGGAGCAAGCACACCTTAAAAAACTGGAGGAGCAATTGGAAGCGGCTAAAGGACCCAACCCCCGTTGAACTCGCAAAGCATTGCCTTCCAGTTGCCCTGGAGTGTCTGAAGCCCCTACATACAGAAATCAGGGCTGTGCAAATCCATTCTCTCATCATACCGATCTAGATCGGGTGTCAAGATCCACCAGGTGTTGGTGCTAGGATCCACCTCGGCTAGCAGCAACCGCGTGTGCCAGCAGAGTGGCCGCTCACCGTAGTTCACCAGTGTCGCGTGACCACTCTGCATGATCAACTCAAAAGGCTAAGCTTGCCAGTCGACCCGAATATACCCGTCTTTCCCTTGCTAGGGGATGGCACTCGTGTAGAATTGGATCCCCAGCAATAAGAGAACAAACACCCAAACCCCCGATAAAAAAGTCAGTTCACAGACACAGTGGCACACTTGCAGACTGAGGGCTCAGGCTCAACGCTGCTCCTCAGTTGCCAGCCTGCCACACCTGCAGCCACCAACGCCACAGCGTGAGTAGCGATGGTAGCGGGGTCCATGACCCGAGTGCTACCTGAGCTCCTGAATTGCCTTGAGCATCCAGGATGCGGCCCAACATCTTACAGCTATTCATTCTCGTGTAAAGACTGAACATATATTGTATATACATAATTTGATGTATCCATGCAAGTATATATGTAATATTGTGTGTGAGTGCTTCAATTCAACTCTTGAACAAATAAATCTTGCTTAGGAATCTGGATAACTCGAATGCAACTTGCATGTCATGTAATTTGCTGGGGAAACTAAACTGGAAATTTGTTTCTGGTTTTGATGTTCCAAGCACATGATTCAGCAGCGAGTGGCTTTCTTCTCGAAAACCTCGGCCCTTTCAGTCCAAAGATCAAACATACTTCCCTGTCAAATCTTTATGTTGAATTACAAACAACCACGTGATTTACAAACAATCACCACTGCTGAACTGTCGGGGAAAACAAGCCCCAGCATGAGAACCTTGAGTTTGTCCCTACCAACTCCTTCCCTAAGCACGATGACGCAACAGGGACCTCAAACTTGCCATCCTTGGGGCTTTTTGCTTTCGCAATTTCCAGGTCCTGTTGCTGGAATCTTGTGGGGTCAGTCGCAGAAGTTGGCAGCAGTTGTCAAATCATTCTATGGAGGGGTGGACTTGAGGAATTCATCCACTTTTAATGAGAACCTTTGCCAACAACGTACTATGATGGTGATGCACTCAGGACTCAGGGGATACAACGTCGGTGCCTGTAGCTGAGTTAGACGAAACATTCGTGTCAAAACCCTGCGAAACATTGTACCGTAGTTACAGGCTCCGATAATGGTCGAAGGAAGTTTACAAGTCAAACTTCCGACAATATGGACAGATGAAAAGCAGAGATGGGAAGAGTCAGAGAAGAGAAGAGAAGAGAAGAGAAGAAGAAAGAAGATCACAAAAGAGAAAGTCTCAGAAGAAAGAAGATCCAGGTGCGCGAAAAGGCAGGAAAGTCGCGAAACATTGTGTTTTTCCAATGATTTGTGGCTCCGGAGGGTCGAAAAGTAGGCTCGCTAAAGCGGCGGGTGCGGAGTCATGTGGTCAGATGAGAAATGAAGAGTTGCACGCCGTTGTGGCGCGAAGCACATTTCCAAGTCAAAATGTGCAAAACACACCAACATCGGAGCACTTTCAAAAGTTGCGATGTCGAAAAAGTGCACGCCGTTGTGGCGCAAAGCACATTTCGAAGTCAAAAGTGTAAAAAACTGACGGGTTCAGAATACTTTTGGAAGTTGCGATGTCGAAAAAGTGCATGCGGTTGCTTCGCGCCCACATTTAGAAGTCAAAAATGTTAAAAAAAAAACTGACGGGTTCAGAGCACTTTTGGAAGTTGAGATGTCGAAAAAGTGCATGCGGTTGTGGCGCAAAGCACATTTCGAAGTCAAAAGTGGAAAAACCTGAAGGGGGGGCACTTTTGGACGTTCAGATGCCGTTTTGCGTGGCAGGCGATGGGGATTGTGCATCTTGTCAAAAATGAGCAAATCGTGAGGGTTTTGTGGCAGTTTCAAAAACGATGGCAGGCGTGGGACATATGCAGAGGATCTGCAAAGATGCATTTTCCGTGGCGGGCACAGCGCACGAGACATGTTCATCAGAGCTGTTAGGAGGTCCAGGCGCTGATTTCCTGAGAGGGATTGCATTTTGGAGCATAAGATCTTCAGGTTTGCTGAGATG